TGGTGGCGAAATTGTTTGGGGGGGGGGGGTGTGAGTTGAGCAGCAGAGGAAGGGGGTGATGGGGAGCCAGCACCCTGCCGTGACCAGGCCTGTAACCAGGATTTTGTAGGTTGTGGGCAGTGTTCCCTCTAAACTGAGTCAGTGTGAGCCAACTCACAGTTTTTTAGCCTCTGGCTCACCCATTTCTGCCTCAGCTCAGGAAGGAGGGCTCCAGAGCAAACTTGATTGATGCAGCAGCCGAATGGCTCGCTCACCACTTTAATGCCCGTCGCTCACCAAGTAGAATCTTTGCTCACGGGACTCCACAGCTTAGAAGGAGCATTGGTGGTGGGGCAGATTTTCTTTCCTGGCGGGGCTGAACTTAACGATCCGGCTCTGTGCCTCTCTGCAACTGGAGAGCTGGGTGCGTGGAACGCTAGAGTCTCCCGACTGAGATTCAGCACATCTTGCATTTAGTGGCTCGTGGAGCCCAGTCACGGCCCATCGTCGGGCTCACTTCTGCATGAAATCCAGGGAAAGCCTGGATATTCCTCCCCCCAAGTGATCGGCCAGAGACCCAGCACGAGGCTTCGAGTTTCCTATGGAAACTAGTCGAGCGATCACGACAGATGCAAGCCAACCAGATCTCCTCATCTCACATGAGAGGTGGCTGCTTCTTCTTCGCTCGTGGCCGCTCAGTGTGCGCCTTAAAAAAATAAACGGCTCAAATGTTTAAAAAAAAACCTTTTGGGGGAGAAAATCCTGTGGGGGCTGTGGCTTTATTTATATGTATTTATTTATTTGCTGCATTTATAACCCGCCTTCCCCGCAAGCGGGCTCAGGGCGGCTCACATTGCCTGGCACAGTGTGCCAAGGATCATACTCAGTCAAAACATTTAAAACATCTAACAATCAACGATTTCCGATTAAAGTGCACTCAGTGATTATTAACCGAGATGGCGTAACATGTCATGCAGGCACAGGCAATTTGGCTCGATCTCGCTGCAGCCAGGCTCCACCACAGATATTAATAGTGGTCGTTGATGGTAATGTGGGCGGCTCCTAATTGAAGGCCTGGTGGAAGAGCTCTGTCTTGCAGGCCCTGTGGAACTGCAGAAGATCCCGCAGGGCCCTTCCACCAGTAAGGAGCCGCCACTGAGAAGGCCCTGGCTCTAGTAGCCACGAGCCTGGCCTGCCTGGGGCCTTTATGACAGTGGGCGGAGCCCCGAAAAGCCCCACCGTGGCCATGACTTGGCTCTCTCCTCTCCCTCAGAGCTGCGTGGCCCCAAGGTCCTGGCCTTCTTGTGTCCGGCCAACGTCAGTGAGGAAGAACTGCAGCTGGACCCCAAACGTTTCTGCAGCCCCGACCTCCAGAAGCTCCTGGGCCCGATCTTCGACCCTCCCGGAGCTCAGAGCCCGTCCGGAGGGACTCCGCGGGCGCGGGCCCCGGCACCAGCCCCCAAACCTGCCGTGGCGGTCAAGAACGCTTCTGGAAACAGCAGCCCGGTCAGGAAACTGTTGGGCGAGACAGCAGGGGTATGTCTGTGCAGGTGAACCAGAGGGTGGATTTAGCAGGCCTCGTCAGGCTTTATTATTGGGGGGGGGGATGGAGGAATGGTTATTCTTTGACAGGTGTGTCGTTGGGGACTGTACCACATGGGATACTTTGAGGGGGAGATGGGAGGGATGTACCACTAGGGCAGAAGAATAAGAATGCATCGCGGATAAACAGAGAAGTTTCTCTGTAAGAAATGGATTGTATAGAGGGCGCCCTAAGAAGCGGGCGGGAAGACCTTGGTACTGGTCTCCTTGCTGTGGCAGAGACAGGTCAAGGCGGGAGGTAAAGTTCCTAGTCCTTAAGAGTCTCGCCTGATCTCTGCCTCCTTCTCCTCTGTCTCCAGGCTGACCTGCCGGACGAACTCCTTTTCGACATGGAGAATGTCCAGAAGCTGTTTGCTGCCAATAAGGAGACTCAGTCGATGGAGACGGCACTGCAGGTACTGCCGCGTGTGTATGTGATGCGGCCAGGAATTCTGAGTGTGTAATATGTTACGTTCACGTGATCAAGTAAATCAAGATGAGTCGCCGTGTTAGTCTGTCTGTAGCAGCAGAAGGAAGGATGTTGACGAGCTCGAGCGTGTCCAGAAGAGGGCAACCAGGATGGTGAGAGGGTTGGAGTCCAAGTCTTACGAGGAAAGGCTGAAAGGGTTGGGTCTGTTTAGCCTGGGAAAGAGAAGGCTTAGAGGGGACATGATTGCAGTCTTCAAGTATTTGAAGGGCTGTCATGTAGAAGATGGAGTAGATCTATCCTCTCTTGCTCCGGATTGCAAGACTAGATCTAACGGGTGGAAATGACAAGGGAGTCGATACCAGCTAAATATCAGGAGAAACTTCCTAACAGTAAGAGCAGTTGAGCAGTGGAACAGACTGCCTCGGGAGGTGGTGGGGGCTCCTTCGCTGGACGTTTTCAAGCGGAGGCCGGACGACCACCTTTCGGGTCTGTCGTAGGGCTCTCTTTCGGCTGTGCTCTTGCAGAGTGCAGGGGGTTGGACTAGATGACCTGCAAGGTCCCTTCCAACTCTAACGTTCTAGGATTCTAAAAGAGCAAGAGTCCAGCAGCACCTTAAAGGTTAACAAAATCTGTGGCAGGGGAGGAGCTTTCCTGAGTCACTGCTCCCTTCTTCAAGTCCAGACTTATTCCGATTAACGTACCCTGCCACAAATTTCGTTAGCCTTTAAGGTGCTACTGGAGTCTTGCAGGATTCAGTAGGTTTCAGAATTTTTGCCGCCTTTTCAAAAAAAAAAGATGCAGAGGGAAAAAGCCAAGTCCCTAGACCTTAAAGCCATTGGGGTTTTGAAGGACGGGGGGTGGCGGCGCTCCAGGAAGGATTAGAGATCTAAACCCTAGCTCTGAACAAATACGTTACTGCCGCTTTAATGCCAGTGAGACATTGGAGAGAAGACAGGAATAGCAGCGTCCCTTTCCATGTGTCTGAAATTCTGTATGAAGACGAGAAGGACAGGGTGGTGGTGGGGAAATGCCGGGATACATCCGCATGTTGCTTCCAGTGTCTAGAGCACTTCACATCTTCTGGCAACCAGGGCCTTTTCAGTGGTGGCTCCTACCTGGTGGAATGAGCTCCCGGAGGAGATCAGGGCCCTGCGGGACCTCTCACAGTTCCGGAGGGCCTGCAAGACGGAGCTCTTCCGCCAGGCTTTTAATTAGGAGCCGCCACTACCACCGCCACCAACTATCTTGTGGTACCACTACGACCGCCACCAACTATCTTGTGGTAACAACGGGGTAATGGGACGGCCCATTATAAAGCTCTGGCCACAGTACTGCGATGGAGCGGTACCGCTGAAGCGGGCCCTTCGGTAACATCTATAGGCCACCATCTTGACTCGATTGAATGGGTAAAACCACTGAGCACTTTATTACTGTAAAATATGGTTGTTTTGTTATTCTGTTTTTAATGTTTTATATTTGGCACACGGTGCCCCTGTTCGTGAGCCGCCCTGAACCCGTTCGCGGGGAGAGTGGGATAGAAATGCAATAATAAATCAATGAATAAATATCTATAGACACAGTAGTCCTTGCAGTAGGCCTGCAAGATTGTTGGTACCTCCGTACTGCGGATGAGGTGTGAGACGGAATGCTTTTCCTAATGACATTTGGTAGAGGTGAGATTTGAATCAGGGACCAGTTCAGTACGGACCACAGAACGTCGGATGCCATAGAACAGAGGCAGCTGACTGTGCCAAATAAGGCCCTGGATTTGTTAAATCCTGAAATCTTGAGGAAAGACTTCTGAGGAAGAGAGGGATATAATTGCCCGTTCCCCTTCCTGTGGGGCCTTAGATATCTCTCCGCGGCTCCTCCTGGACATTGCTGCAGATTTAAATAACTCCTCCCCAGAGGTGGTTGGAATTTGGGGTCATTTAATATATATATTAGAGGGTGGGGGGGCACAGATTTGATGGAAACCTTCAAATGTTTTTTTGAAATACAGACTCTGAAGAACAGTGTTACGTTTAGGGCTCTTTTTGTAGCAGGAACTCCTTTGCATATTAGGCCACACACCCCTAATGTAGCCAATCCTCCAAGAGCTTACAGAGCTCTTCTTACAGGAGCTACTGTAAGCTCTTGGAGGATTGGCTACATTAGGGGTGTGTCGCTTAATATGCAAATGAGTACCTGCTACAAAAAGAGCCCTTACGCTGGCCCGCAGCTAACATGGGGCCGCCCCCCCCCCAGTGTTTCTTCTGGGGCCCCTCCCTCCTGGGCTGCCCCCAACGTGCTCCAACTTACCACCTGCACTGTACTTCCATTTAATTAGCTGGTGGGGCCCCCCGAGGCCCCCTCCCAAAGAATTCCCTAGCTACGGGGCTGGCCACCGTTACGCTTTAGGGGATCAGTTTTGTCGGAAGTGATATCGTTGCGTTACCTTCCCTTGATTCAACAGTATCCATGATTTTATTCTTTTTTATTGTTTATATTTAGAAATGTGGTGTTTAAAACACACACGCGCACCATGCACCCAACTAGAACTTAATTTTTTTAAAAAAATTGTGAACTGATTCAAATAGCGCAAATCTGGCCGCGAATTCTCTTGCCCCGTAAATTCGTTCCGGCCTTCGTGTCCCGTGTTGCCGATAACTCTCTGCTGCCCCCTGCAGGACTGCGAAGGCCTGGACTTAGAGATGCTGGCTCCCTACATCTCGATGGACGATGATTTTCAGCTGAGCAGCACCGAGCACCTGCCGTGGCTGGCCGAGAAGCGGGGGGACGCCAGAACCCGGCCCACCTCGCCACCTCCGCGGCCCCGTTCCAGAAGCTTCCATGGGGTGTCTCCCCGCCCACCTGAATCGACCGCCCTTCCTCGCTGGGGCAGCGACACCAGTCTGAGCCAGCCCCGCCCCTCCCAGCCTCTGGAAAGCGACCAGTGCGATGCCGGGCAGGTGGTAGAAATGGTGGCATCTGTGAAGATCCAGGGGCTGGAGGAAGGGACCAGTCCAAACGTCCCAGTGGCCTTGGGTGGTAGGAAGAGGTAGGGGGATTCACTCGTATGCCCGGGGGTGGGTGGGATGTGAACAAATTATGAATTGGGGTCAAGCGAGTGTTGGGGAAATCAGGGGTGCAGGAACCTTTCCACGCACTCCCCTTCCCCACAGTGTTCATTTTTGGAGGGAGGGAATTGGGTTTCCCAATTGCATCAGACTGAGAGCCAGTTTGGAGTAGTGGTTAGGAGCGCGGGCTCCAGTCAGAAAGAACCGGGTTCGATTCCCCACTTCTCCACAAGCAGCCAGCTGGGTAAACTTGGGTGAGTCGCACGTTCTCTCAGAGCTGTTCTCTCAAGGGCAGTCCTCGAAAGAGCTCTCTCAGCCCCACCTTCCTCACCGGGTGTCTGTTGTGGGGAGAGGAAGGGAAAGGAGATTTTAAGCCGCTCCGAGACTCCGAATGAAGGGCGGGGTATAAATCTAATCTCTTCTTCATCAAGAGAGAGACGGTTGTTCTGAACCAAAACTCAGTTTATTCTATCACACACTCTTAAGTCAGAAAACACTTTTGTAGCATTTCCAGGGCTATTTTATGGGCAGGAACAGACAGGAACGGAGTTCTGGCTGGCTCCCAAGTTGGCCACGCCCAGCAGGAACTCATTAGCATAATAGGCCACACCGAACAGCAGAAACTCATTAGGATTTGTTACATTAGGGGTGTGTGGCCTAACATGCAAAGGAGTTCCTGCGACAAAAAGAGCCCTGGGTTTTGACCACAAACAAGGTCAACAGAATAAGAAGCAAAAGGTGGGTGTGGCTGCATGACCACACTTCTGGTAACATGGGGGTGTGGCCTAATATGCTAATAAGCAGTGCTGTCATGGGTGTGGCCTAATATGCTAATGAGTTTCTGCTACTGGGTGTGGCCTATTATGCTAATGAGTTCCTGCTGGACTTTTTCTACCAAAAAAGCCCTGAGCATTTCAATAGTCAACATAGAATTTTTCAACGCAACCCCCAGTACGTAAGTCGTGCACTTAAAGCTAGTTCACTGATACTCTAGAATCGGATAATGTATAAACATTCCAAATGGCAAAAATCATGTAAGGCAAAGGTCGTATCTAAGGTTATCGGTACCCAAAGGCCACAGCACTTGGCAGAGTCCTGAAGCCTCCTGGGAAACAGAAACACAAATTCTGCGATAGAAATTAAACTCACCTAGGTTTAACAGAGGCCTGAGCCTCAACCCAGGCCCTAATTCCGCGACAGCGGATCCATTGGAAATGCAGTGCCAGTCTCTACCCCAGGAGTCCCTCAACGGGGTCTCTGGCTCACACAGTTTTGTCTCAGCTCAGGAAGGAGGGCTCCAGAGGAAACTAATTCATGCAGCAACCAAATCACTGGCTCACAACTTTCATGCCAGGAGCTCACAAGGTAGGATTTTTGCTCACAAGACTCCACAGCTTAGAGGGAACATTGCTTCCAACTCTATGATTCTGTCTCTGACGTCCACGACAAAGCTCAGCCCATTCTTCTCTCTCTGGGGTCAGGAATGTCAAGGAAAGCTGAATTAAGCCAGGTTGACTCAGAGAGTCAAGGAAGCTAGTTCACTGATACTCTAGAATCGGATAATGTATAAACATTCCAAATGGCAAAAATCATGTAAGGCAAAGGTCGTATCTAGGGTTATCGGTACCCGAAGGCCACGGCACTTGGCAGAGTCCTGAAGCCTCCTGTGAAACAGAAACACAGATTCTGCAATAGAAATTAAACTCACCTAGGTTTAACAGAGGCCTGAGCCTCAATCCAGGCACTAATTCCGCGACAGCGGGTCCACTGGAAATGCAGTGACAGTCTCTACCCCAGGAGTCCCCCAACGGGGCGCCCGTGGGCGCCATGGCATTCGCTGATACCTTTTCTGGCTCCCGCCAAGTGTTTTTAGTGATGGGTTGGGCCAGGTAGAGCTTTTGCCCAGCAGTATTTCTGACAACGATAGGAGATTCGATTGGCTGTGCGGATTTTTTTAAATGTTGCTGTCATGACTCAGGTGGGGCGTCACCTGACGCTGCCACCACCCTGGATTTAGGATCCCTTGAGAAGGCCCAGAGCACCCTCCCAAGACCTTCAGACCTCCCTTTTGGGCCAAATAACAGGCATGAGGGACCAGGCAGAGTGAAACAAGGAAAAGGTTTATTTTATAGGAGGTCAAACAACAAGGTGCAGAATAATAACAGTAAGTGGGTGAAAAGAAAAGCAATCAAATGCCCTAACGTGTCTGAATGTATACTGTCTCTAGCTCACTATTCCAAGTGGCACTAGACTACTCACCCTCCCCTCAGGATGAAGGTTTCTTCCTGCAGCAGCCTTCCTTCTGGCTCTGCCCTCTGGGAAGAAAGAACAGCTTCTGCTCTGGCACCAGCCCTTTTGTTTCCCAGCCCTCTTCTTCCCTATTGGTCAATTTTGGCTCCAGAACCTCTCAGGGGCTTCTGGGGGTTGTAGGCCCAGCCTCACCTACTGCTAGCCAGGCTCCCTGGGCCGACTAGGCCTCTGGTGGCACAGCCCAGATCATGACAGTTGCTTTGGCAGCAGCTGCCACCACAGCACAAAGATCTTCATTGTGTGAGAGAAGGTCAGCCGTTTTGTGACTGCGCTCACCATGCCCTGTCAGAATTCCCAATGTGCCCGGAGGCTTCAAAAGGTTGGGGACCCCTGCTGGGAACACGAGAAGGGAGCTCCATCCCGTCCCGTAAATCAAACCAGGATGCCACAGCGGTATCTTGAGTGCGAGCGTGAGCTTCATTGGCGTTCCCGCATACAATTTTCCGGCTTTCGTTTGCGCACGCCTCGTCCCCGCCGGAGGTAGTGGGCGGAGGTAGTTGTGAACAAGGGCAGAGGTGAGATTTTGTTTGGTTCCTCCCTGTCTGCCTGTGTGGAAATGTGATGACAGCGGCACACGTTTTTAATTTAGTTGTGAGCAGGGGTCATTTCCTGCGGGGGCGCACAGGAGCGGAGCTCCGGCAGTAAAGAGCCCAGGGGGCGGGCACATGAAACAAGCCCCACCCCCTGCTCCCAGCAGCCCTCAGTCAGAGCAAGAAGCAGCCAGGTAAGCTGCAGAGCCCCCCCCTGCCCCCCCCCGGTCCAAAACAGTCCAGTGGC